GTGTGTGGTGTGGTGTGTGGTGTGGTGTGGTGTGGTGTGGGGTGTGTCTGTGTGTGTGTGTGTGCGTGTGTGTGCGCGTGCATGCATAAATCTGCCAAGCAAGTGTAATCGCCATCACGGTCACGGTCATCATTATGCCAGAACCGACACAACCATGCAGATGCAGTCTGATACTACCACGACTCATGCTGCAATTCGCAATCATAGCTGCAGAGCCTCGATGTCGCTATCACTGTCATGCACAACGGGCACAGCCGCAGGCGCCCTTGCCGGTACGGGCGCAGCTCCAGCCTGCAGCAGCGCACGAGACAATATGGTTGAAGATACATTCGTCTTCTGTTTTAATTGACATATTCGTTACTTGTTACCAGTCGACATCGTTGCAGCTTGCTCTGTCCGACTCTATGCTGCAAATCGGCTGCTGCATCATCAAATGTCCCAGCTCCAGCAGCAGAAGCTCTCCCTGAGCCCCTTCCGCGACCGCGACCACGGCCCCGCGCACGTTTGGGCCGCGGCTGATCCTCCGTCCCTGCATGTGGAACCTGCGTTCAGAAACTGCATCGCCAGCATTGCAACATAGCAACAAGTTTTCATACAAAGTCTGAATTCCGTTCCTGATGCCTGATGAGCTCATATCTGCAATGCAGATAATCAAGCCAACACACAGGTCACAAAAGAACAACGTAGTCGATTTAGTCGACTGGCCGAAGTATGACCGACTCGCTGAATGTTTGATTGCCAAAGAGAAACATGGTACCTCTATGAGAATATGACACGCACACAACACACAGAAGGCCCCTAAGGTGAAATGAGAAATCCACAAACGACGGGTCTCAGAAAGAGACTAGAGAACTGCAAGACGTCTGCGTGAGCACACCGCTGTTTTACAGTGTAAGGCGACAGGCCTCATCCTCAAGATCTAGGAGCACGAAGCCAGCATCCACCCCGCCAGGGCGACCTGGCGCAGCGCAGGCCTCGCCTTTGATCAAGGTCCTGCACACATCCGTGGAACGTCTGGCTGTGGGGGTTGCGGAGCTACACGGGCTTTGGGCTTCAAGGGCTTGGGCTTCGAGCGTTCTGAAAAGAACTTCCACATCGTCCAAAAAATCAGTCCTATAGAACGTTGCAGTTTTATTCGGGAGGACTTCGCAGAGGCGACTTGCATCATCCACAGCCAGCACATACAACGTGTGGTAATACGCCTGAAGTTGGCCGTGGTAAACCTTGCCGACAACATCACTGTTGAGCAGCGCGAGCCAGTACCAAATGTCTGAAGAGTAATACAGACGTTCTTGGCCTGAGTGACAGACAACAGGTGTGCCGCAGTGCCGGTGTGCTTTTGATTCTTACCAATATATCAGGTCACCGACGAGTATGTTAGTGAATGTTTGTGGGCTTCTGCTACAATTTTACATTGACAGACTCACTGGCTAGCCTGGCCTTCTTCGAAAAAAGCTTGTTTCAGCTCCTTCGAGCTTCCCGTCCACTGTGTCCGAGTCCAACCACGATCCTGCAGCAACATCAACACCTCCAGCTGACTCGGCATGATACCTCGCTTCGGCTGCAAGAGGTTGTACTTCCACGGGACCCCGACGCGTGGTTGGAAGGCGCGCCGGCTGTTGTGCAAAATGATTCTCTCGGTCACAGCAGATGCCGCAAGCTGCAGGGTTTCCGAATCCGAATTGGCAGAATCGGCAGACTTCCCGGAAGCAACTCGCCCACGCACAACCACGCCTGCAGCCTGCAATGCCGCAAGTTGTGAATCGTATGCTTCATCCAGGCCGACGACTGGGAAAGCCTTGTCGGAACCATGGACCGCCCCGGCATTCAGAAGTTCCTGTAGCACTTCCATAGCACCGGCGTTGTCGGCAAGAGAGGGACATCCTGCCGGATCTCGCAAGTAAAACTGGACATCGCTTTTCACAGTCCATTGCAGCATACTGTCCATGAGCCGCTGCGACAACGTCCGGTCTGCGCCCGAATGGCCGAGGAGACGGACCAGGGGCACTTCCGTGCAAGCGTGCATGCTGACACAAACCTCGTCTGATCTGCTGCAAGTCGAATGAACGGTGTACAGACGGATGCAAAAGTCTGTCGGCGATACATCATCGACTGCTCCAAGTGGTCTCTTCTTTGCGGCAGGACTTTTGTCAGGGATGCGGAAGACCACCAAATCCAAATCAGCATCTCCTCTGCCTGCGCTGGCCACCTGGTGTTCAACGCTCGGGACTTTCAGAGGCTTTGAAGGTCCAACTTGTTCCAACATTTGTTTTACTATTCCCCGGCTACTATTAGCGACGAGCCTGCTGCACTAAGTCCTGCAACGATGTGTCCCCAAGAACCAACGAAGGTTCGCGACCGGATGGAGTTCGCTTGTGTCGCGACGTCGAGAGTACAACACCATCATCGTCATCAGGCTCTATGCATAAGAATGAGCTGCTGGGTGTCTTGACAGCAACACTGTCCGTCTCTCTGCCCTGCAAAGCAAGCTTGCCGGCCGAGCGGAGGTCCCGGATCGGTTGGAAGTGAGTCGCATCTGCCAATGGCAAGGCACCCACAACCGGCCCAGTGTTTGATTGGCTGAAGGCAGATGTCAAAGCCTGTCCCAGCTTCTGAATCTTCAGCTCTTCAAGCATTTCTCGAGGCAGACTGTACCACGAAGATGAACTCAAATTTTCCCGCAGATGCTGCAGAAGCAACCACATCAGCTCATCGTCTTTCTTGGCCTTCGATCGGACCTGCTGAACGGCTTGTGCTTTGTGAGCCCTGGTGACTGCCGCAGATGATTGTGGCACCTCCGGGCGTGTGGTGGCACCGACCGTAAACTGCAAGCTGCGCCCGTACAAGAGACGTTTCATGATCTTGAAAGACATCGTTCCCACTTGCACCTGGGACGGTACTTATGGAGCAGAACAAAGGTAACCAAGATTGGCTCGGGGCTCGGGCTCGGATGTTTGGCTAAGTCGAAACTCGCAAGTAGCTGGCTGGACTGTGTCATTGTCTTCTAGACTTCAAGCCACCCACCCGGACCCACCCAGCAGCACCCCACCATAACATGCAGTCTGGAAACACATTGCGGCCCACCTACAGACTGCGCGACGAACAACGACAGGCCGCTCTGGGTGTTCAAGTTCTGATGCTCCTGCGCGGCAGACGCCAAGGCCTGACTCAGGACTCCGGGATTGAGCTGTCGGAGGTCTGGGGTCCAGCATGTCCTAATGTTTCCAAGCCTATCAGAACCGAAAAGAGCCAGCGACACTTAGCCAACCTACACAACGTATAAACTCTGTGCTCACTCCAGCCAGTGAGCCGTTGGATTGCCGAACATATGGGTCATCAAAGGATGTCTCAACTCTGTGCTGATATAGGAGGCAGATGAGTTCGGCGACTTGGCCAAAACCTGCTTGATGGAGCGGTGCTGGCCCTGCCAAGGCAAGATCCAAGTGAATGTTAATTAATATTTGTTCGAGTCCTAGTCCTAGTATCAGCAAACGGCAAAGGGCATCAACAACATAGGACGTAGGATGGTTCTTCGAAGTTCCTTGCAAGCACCAAGACTGTTTCTTGCATTGCATGTGCATGTGCCAATGTGCAACTTATAAACGACATGTTCCCGTATACACACACACACACACACACACTCTCACGACTCACGGCTCCACGACAATATGAAGTGCCGCAACCCAAGACTGTCCTCCGTTTCGCGTTCGCAACACCGGAGAAGGCGCAAGACTCCCACCCATTTCCGCAGAGCCGGCAGTGTCCGCAGGGGAACGCCGCCCAAGAAATCCAAGAGCTCACCGTGGAGCCCTCCCGGCAGATCCTGAATTAAGATTTGACCCTTTGGGGACACATACTACGTTACTACATAAGAGAGTATATATATATATACACATACATACATACATACATACATACATACATACATACATACATACATATATGCATACATACATGCATGCATGCATACATACATACATACATACATACATACGCACACACACCCCCGTACTTACATATATACAAACATACGCACATACACACATACTTACATATATACAAACATTACATACATACGTACATACATACATGCATACATACATACTCACATATAGATTCATATATATATATATGTATACATATGGTCATATGTATACATATATATATATATATACATATATATACGTGGCATTGTGCGAGGCTACCAGCGGCAGCCTCATTCATTGGAACCAAATGATGCATGCAACCTGGAAGCGGGTTGCAGGAAGAGCTGGGACACATAGTGCCGGGAACCGTGCTGATGGGGTGGAGCCGTATCTGAAGAGGAAGATGCTGCAGGTGTAACCGAAGCAGCAAAAAGCTCCAGACACTCGCGGCCGATCTTCCTGGCGAGCTCGGCGTCCTCAGACGCCAGCCCGCATAGTTTCCATGGGAGCAACTGCCAGTGGGCGCATTTTATTTGCAGAGTTGAAACCAAAGTATCAGAGGCAGCACAAAAGTCGTCGATGAGTCTCGATCGGTCCTGCCCTTCGACTCGGAGAGCAACTGCCAGCACCTTGCTCTTGCAAACATCCATGACCTCTCCAGTAAAAGCTTTGAAAGAACCAGCGGCAAACTCGTGGGCTCTTCGTCCTTTGAGAGGACACTTGATCAGAGCACCGCGATCAGGAGCCGGAGCAGCTGCTGCATGACGGACAGCCTTGGTTACGGCTCTCAGCCGACGCTTGTAATTCGTCTGCTCAATCATCAAATCTTCGTGGCATGAGCAAGCTTCACACCAGGAACTCTGTTGCTCCACTGCACCGGCGACAATGCACAGGAAGTGCGCATATGCCCAGAAAAGTCGCGATGCAACAGCCTTGCTGATCTGGCTGACGATCGATCCAGTGATTCCAGCGGGGGTTCCGCCAGCGCCTGCGTCCTCTTGATCTGTTGCCATGCGTGCTTGTGCAAAAGCGGCTTCGTCCCATCCTGAGTTATGGACCCGTAACGCGAACATGACCAGCACCCGACCGACCTACGCATCAACATACACAATGTCTTGTACGTGTCTGATTCCTGTCTGATACGAACGAGACGAGAATCCTGAAGAAAGCGCTCCTTCGCGGCGCAAGAGGGCACGGAGACAGGTCACAAGACTGCCCCAACGCCAGTGCACCAACTGTCCTCCCTCCCAAGAACTCATCAAGTCATGGAACTCGTGGCCAGGCGGAAAGCAAGCGGCCTTGGGCATGCGAGGGTGTGCACTGCTGAGTGCTTCACTTACGAGTCTCACTATCATTCAGACAACACCACTGGCCGGGCTGGCCATGGCCCCTGGCCCAGATCTACTTAAACAAACTCCACACCAACAAAACCCATCATCAAAATTCAACATCACTGCATCCGATCCCTGCCTCATGGCTTCATGGATCCACACTGAAGCAAAATGAAACAGAAGTGGAGGACCACGAAAGTCCAACTAGATCAACTGCCAACTGGATCCTGATCAAGCCGAATCAAGCCGAAGGCACCACCAAGCGATCTCTGTAACTCTCGAGGTGCAGCACTAGAATCACTGGTTTCAACATCTCCTAAGACACGGGGGATCCGGCGGATCCGGGATTGGTGCGATTGGGTGAGACAAGGTCTTAAAACCCAAAGTTCCCAAGTTCCAAAGTAAAAACAAAACCAGCCCGGACACCCAGCATGCTACAAGCATGCGGCGAACCCGCAACAGCCTGAAACCGTGAAACTGCAAGGGTGGGGTGGGGTTAAGGGTATCAAGTGCTGGCTGTAGCATAGGAGCCTGAATAATGTGAGACTTTTGGCTCGATCATTGTAAAGTATAGTCAATAAGAAACCCAAAGCCTTAGAGGCTGATTATCGTAGCCCACGACCCACGAGATTAACCTTTCCGATTTTGGCAGGGCCATATAAACCCCAACAGGTCTAAGGTTGACTACTGAGCTACTGAGAACTGAGAAGATATCATCTGGTTTAGGAATGAAGGTCCACTGCAGGTGGCGGTTCGGGCCCAGGGTTTTGCGCTGTTCAGCAAACATGCTACGTGGGCTTCTGGTTTGTCCTTGGCAAATAGTATGCAAAAGACTGAAGCTGCAATGATGACATGAAAGGAAAACTGTGCTGTTGCAGGCCAGCTTCACTGAAAGACGGATACCAATCGAGAGCACCGAGCATGTCTTGTTCGACATTATCGAGCATGTGTTTGACTCCAGGGACAAACATAGTGCGAGAGATGTCGAAACTGCCCAATGCCTCGTCCAATGGTTCGTCATCCAGCTGAAGGTAGCCACGCCGCCGCAGCCAGACACGGCTGTTGGCAACCCGGCTGCTCAGGACCTTCTGGATGTCGATGGATGGGGCTTGTGTCAGGTGGCCTTCTACACCATAGTCAGCGCAAAACCCGACGACACATCTGCTGTATGCTGCCAATGAATGGCATCCCACATCCAGCATGCTGCTGTGAAAGAGTGCTTCAAATTTTGCACTCAAATCGGAATTTCCCGACCCCACTATGCAAAGTGGAAGCACAGCAGTTTGAATGTTGTCGCTCAAGCACCACTCCGCAATCTCGGCTGGCGAGGCATCTATGATCAAACCAGGATTGCGGATTCGATCCTCCAATGATATGAAGTAGTCAAGCCCTCCTTGAGGGCTTGAGTCGCTGGATATCATGACGAATGTTTCCTGCTTCGTAAACATGGATCGGCGAAGAGTCATAAGGAGAGCATCCAGTTTCAGCCGAGCATGAGACAATTGTGTACTCGATGGTACACTGAAAACCTTCCTCAGCTGTCAGCTGCAGGATTGCATCCCCATTGGGCCACAAACAACAAACCGTTTAAGCTAAAACAGTACGGACTGCCAATTGGGACAAGTTGCTGGGAAATGCTTTCACGCAGCCTCTCGGCCTCAACGGAGCCGACAACATACGCCATTGCACGAACCAGTACTTCTGGGAGGGACAGAGCGGATCGAAGCAAGCGCGTTAGAAGAAGCGCTTCCAGTAGTTTCCCCAGAGACATAACTGGATTCCTCTGCCGGGTGGATGCACCTGCCGACTTCAGCACTTCCGATCGAGCAATATCGTTGGGCTCGCTAATTCTGGTGTATGCCATACTTCATACCACCCAAGATTCTCGTAACACCAGTCTTATAAACCTTGAAGTTGAAATCCTAAGTCCTGATATCGAAAAAACCTAGGCCCTAAACCCCAAAACCCGAAAACCCTGGGCTCTAAACTCCCCAAGCCCTAGATCCTCAACCTCAGACAAAGCCACAGACGCTCAAACGTAAAACCCGAAGATCCACAACCCGAAATCCTCGGCCCTATAAACCCTAGGCTTAATTAAGGCCCAAACCCTCAGCCTTGCCGCAACCTACGAATACCGCAGACCGCTACACCTGCGAGTTTGCGAGACACCAAAAGCCCGAGTTAAAGTCAGACGTTCATGATTCATGACTCATATTCATACAATCCTTTCGAAATTACACTGCGTCGTGTTGTAGCTGACTCCTCTCTGACATGAGGCCTGGGGCATCGTCATCATCCCCGGCGGCCGGCGGCCCAGCGGCTGCACGGACTACACCTGGCCCAGGGGCCAGGGTGTGACTGATTGCAGGGTTGCGGGGATTGATTTTGTATCCTAGCAGATACAGTGGCCTTCAACCTTCATGGGCCCAGTCAGTTACCAAAGCCCAGGGTGTGGCTGATTGCAGGGTTGTGGGATTGTTTATTTCTGATCCTAGCAGACTGACAGTCTGACTTCACTCGGTGTCTTTTACCATGTGCGTTACTCAGCATGTGCCCAAGTGAAAGAATGAGATGAGACAGCTCCGATGCAGCTTGCAGCAAAACTGACATGCAAAG